TTCACCATGTTGACCAGGATGGTCTCGATCTCTTGACCTTGTGATCCACCCGCCTCGGCCTCCCAAAGTGCTGGGATTACAGGCTTGAGCCACCGCGCCCGGCCCAATTAGAACTGATTTTAAAGATCTGTTTGGAATCCTTTGTTCCCCACTTCCTACAAATCAAATTACCAAGGAGCAAATTTAATTTTTCAACTTTTATTTTAAGAAAGACACAAACTTACATTAACAGGGTCTGATCCACTAATGTGAGTCATTTAACTGGCAATTATTTCATTCTGAAATTAAAATCCCATTCAAATGTTTTCATCTATAAAATAATTCCCTGGTAAATACAACAATCTTGCAAGACTGCTGTAGAAAGAAAAACCTGAATAATCTCATAGCTCTTCATCTAAAAGAGGAAGGTGGAAGCGATAAAGTTCCATTTTGCAAGAAAATTTAAAATGTACACTATTAAAGCTACCTTTCACTACGTGCTTTACTCTCTACCATGAATCAAAAGTAGCTAAGGCATTAAGGGGCTATTTAGCAGAGTAACCCATAATGTGTTCACTGGGAAAAGGTTGATTACTGAGGACAAAGGTTCAGACACTGAAACTGGAGATAGGGCCAGGAGACGAGAGTGGAGAGGGTCAAGAAGAGGCAAACCAAAACGGAAGAGGTGGAGAAAAGAGCAAAAGTGAGCTTGATAGGTTTAGACAGAGACTGCAGCCGTAAGGCAGACACTCACTGAGGGATCGTCCCCCAAATAAATATTTACTGAGACAGTGAATGGTGGTCGGCATCCACAGCAACATTATCGGTATGTACACGGTCCAGGGGAGAGCGATGAACATGTGATAAGTGAAGAAAGCCACAGAGCTGCACGCAGGCCTAGTAACATGAGGCAAGTGTGAAGGTGTAAGCTAGAGCCTGGAGGAGACGCGGACTCAGGACTACCGTGATCTGTGTCTGAGAGTCTGGAATCTAGAGAGGAACAAAGCAGCATCACCTGACAAATGGTAATAACACAGCGTGGGGAACGGGGCTCCAATGATATGGGCCAGAGAGAATAGGATTAGCGTTCTGAAGATCATAAAGGGGTTCTGGGCCTGTGATCCAAGTCCGAGGAGGCATCATGACATTCCTGCACACGACAGAAACTCTGGAGCTAACAGTGGGAATAGAAATAGGAAAACGGCTAATATCCAGAATCTACAAGGAACTTAAATTTATAAGAAAAAAACAATCCCATCAAAAAGTGGGTAAAGGACATGAACAGACACTTCTCAAAAGAAGACATCTATGTGGCCAAAAACTTGA